CTTAGGAAGAGATTCAGGGCTCAGTTGTGATCTCATAGTCAATCTGGAGGTCAGTGAGGTCCCAAAAGTCTACAATGGGCACAAGTGAGGTCAGATCCAGGCATGTAGAGGGAGAGAAATAAATAATAGCTGTTTGGACCAGGCTGCAAGATGATAGCACTGATGAAGGATCTGCCTCGATGCTGTATGCTCTGTATCATCAGTTCCCGGGATCCAGAATACATGCATTGCCCTGGACAAAGAACCATGAAAACAAGCCAAACAAGTAAAACAGGCGAAAAAAAATAAGCTATGTGAGTGTATATGGTCCTTTGCATCTCCAAGCAATTATCAAACCTTTTATTAATGTTAGAAATACCCTTGCAAGGTAGGTATGGTCTGAATAGAGGGATGGAGGGGTGCAGCCCAGCTCATCTCATGAACTTGAGGCACAGCTAGGAAGAGACTGCCTGGAATATGGCTGGAGAAGGCTCAGATCTCACTCATATGCCCTAATTCCCTCCCAGCCACCTCTGCAGTGTTGTCCCAATGCTTGTACATCCACTTGCATGCAGGAAGGGCTGAACGATCTACCTGCTTGGGAGCAGACACCATCAGGAAAGTAAGGCTGTAGAGCTGGGAGTTTCCCCAGACACCAAAGGAAGGCAAGTGCCCTGGATGACCATGGCCAAAAGACCACTCCAATCCAACAGAAAAGTAATGAGATTCCAGGGTCTCATGCCCAGAGGTTCCTCTGAAGACCTCAGATGAAATGTGGGAAGTTCCTCAATTTATGTATATCCTCCATTCTTCCTTTTGGGGGGAGGAGGGTGTATACAGGGGAGCAGCAGTCTCTATTGAGGCAAAATGAGGCAGGGAACCAGAGCAAAAGGTTACAACACAGAGGCAGGTAGAGAGTGGGCTAAGCAGTCTGGAGCGGTGAATGCACAGGGCAGAGGCAGCTAAGCAGGGAGAGGAGAGGAGACAGAAGGAAACGAGCTGAGCAGGGTAAGATGCTGCTTTTTGGAGGTGAAGGTCAAAGGGGCGGGCAATGGGGGATGAAGAACAGCCTAGCGAGCAGAGCAGACTGTCAAGGAGAAACTGAAGACAGGGTGAGGTTTGGTGGGCACAACCCTGGGCAAGAGGGGTGGTCACAGCCCCGATCCTATTACAATAGAATAAATGCATCATCCCTGTCTACCCAGCTAGGCTGGAGGAGTGATGCCAACAATGAGTTCAGCCAGCTGCACCTGTTTGAAACCAGCTCCAAATGTGCAGCCACAAATCAGCAAAGTCTTTCCTGCAACGTGTGATCTTCAACAAACAGGGGCTTGCAAAAAAATGGGCTTCCCGGTAGCACAAAGTATTGCATGTCACACGGCAAAAGTATAAAGTGCCTTAACAGCCAGCAGGCAACAGCACAGAATCAACCAAAATGATCAAGAGCTCTGAAGCAGCTGATATTTATGGAGGCACCAGTTGCAACTCCACAGTTCAGTACCATTTTGCACGTGAAGCAAAGATTCAACAAGTCCCTTAAGTTTCCCCCAGATTCCCAAAGGTTCCCACACTGGTTTTTTGAGGACAGAATGGATTTCCTGAGAGTGCATAAGTAAGTCCATTCGTTAGGAGATAAAATTAATTTAAAATGGGGTCCTTTAAGAAACTCAGCATCTGTGTGTCCTTTTCTTTTCTTTTCTTTTCTTCTTTTTTCTGTTCTGAATGATCTTAATAATGAAATAATGGACTCTTTGACTTGCCATATAATTAAAAGTAATTGAAATCTTGCGCAGTCGACAACAGTTACAGAAATTAGGCTGTAATTAAGTGAGTTTATTAATGATGGTTGTATCTAATTATTATAATTATATAGATTACAGCAAGCCCCAGGTATTTCGGCAGTGTGGCTATTGTAACAGAGGTAACACAACCAATCACAGGCCTTCTTCTACCCGGTTCTTCTCATTTGCATGTATTAGTTCTGTTATTTGCAAGTGTTCAGCCAGAGGGAGACTAGACACATAATAAGAGTTTTCACTAGCGGTTAATTTGGCTCAACTTTTTAAACCATATTACTGGTGCTTTCAGTGTGCCCATTCCAACTAAGCAGAATAGCTGCCGAACCTGGCAGAGAAAGGAGACTCGGAGAACGCTGGTTTAATGCCCCTTCTCACTGCACACACAATTGTCAAAAAAGTTGGGAGAAAGGAATGAAGAATCACTTCATCTCTGTATAATGACAACTGGCCCAAAGCCCAGTTCGTTGCAGTCAGCAATGAGCTCAGCCCCAACCTGTGCAGGAAAGACCATCCAGCATCTGTCTGGAAGAGGGTGCATCACCTGTTGTACATGCTAGTGGAAAAACAGCTGGGTGCTGCCTTTATTTCTGCAACATACACTCAAAGATTGAACAGAGCATGGGAGGAAGGGAAAGGAAAGCTGAGGACAGCAGGATCTCAGCCCTACCTGGTCCATCTGGCACTGGATTCTCAGGGAAGACCTGGGTGTGAAGATATGGGAACTGGAGACTTGTCTGGGTGAAATTCCTATGTCATTCATCTCTGAAGATCTCCCCATTGCAAAGAGGTGGGACATGGTCCTGGGATGGCTGCTGGGAGAACCCTGCATCTCAATGCCACCAACCGCCAGAATCACAAAGCAGCCCACCTCCCCGAGTCCGCCGAACAAAGACCTAACCCAGATATGAGATGCAGAAGCAGGTTCTTAATCCCCAACCTTCTCACGAGTGGGGCAAAGAGACCTAGAAAACAAGGCTGAGCCACACATAATAGAAAACTAGTGACCACAGCCAGGAGAAGGGACAGGAGAAAAGCACATTAGAAAACCCAGAGAGGAATGACTGGTACAGACAACGCTGGCTCGTTCTGCCTCTGGAATAAACCTTGCATGCAATGCAGCATAACCAACAACAAGCATCTATCTATCTATCCCCTACCCCCTGCTCAAAAAAACCCCAAAACAATTTCTGTAGAAATGGATAGGTCTAAGAGGGTAGATGGGAGGGAGAAGTTAATCAAACACTTTGTTGTATATCTACTTCTGATTTTTCACAAGCTTTGCAAGCAGGCAAACCCATTCCTGCCATCAGCTTTCCTGTGGTCTCACTACAGACAGGTAGCAGGGCCCCAAGTGAGTTTTGTGCTGACTGAGATCCCAGGCAGCTAGGACTTGGGAAGTCCTAAAGGGTGGGCAATCTTGAAGTGTCTTGCAATATGTTTATTCAAGATAGTGGGAATGGAGAGGAAAAGTGAGGGAGGGTATGGAAGTGGATAAAAACTGGGGGCCAAGTGTGCATCCACAGAGGAACACAAATGGTGCAGGAGAGTGGGGGAAGCTAGGGCAGAGATATGCCCAGAGCAACATGAAGGACCAGAGAGGACTTGGGACTTATATTCAGGGGAATACAAGAAGCTTCAAAGAGCACAGAGGATCCAGAGAAGAGGAAACAGCAATAATTAAGTACTTGCCCTTCTTTGCACTGCATCATGCAGCCAGAACATACCAGTGACTCAGGCAATAACATTTCAAATAATAATTAAAAAAAAGAATAGATAATCAATATTTCATATCCTCAAAACATCAGACACAACAAGTTGCTAGTCTCATTGGGTTGCTTGGTTAGTGCTCCCATATGAAATTTTTAATTAAAAAATGGTATTTCCCAGGCAAAAAGGAGACTATTAAGATGGTGTTATGGTTGAGAGCTTACACCAGACACTAAGGGGAATATTCAGGAATGTTGCAATTAACCCAAACCAAGTGTTTTAAATCCAGGAAAATGAGAGAAAAGCTTTAAAATAAATGCAAATGTGTTACTATATGGAAATGAATAGTGAGGGCATCTAGAACAGCCTGACCCCTAACTTCCTGCGAGAAGACCTAACTGGGTGCATCTACACATGCACTTTAATGTGCACTAAGCTACTTTAATGCACATTAAAGCATCACTAAAAAAAACATTGCTAGTTAGTTAATGCACATTAAAATAGACTACTGTGCATTAAGCATCACTAAAAAACCACGGGCACCTATACACGAGCACGGAGGCTGCTCCGACACACTGAAATTTCAGCGTATTGGAACAGACTTCATTAACTGAGTCTCCTGAAACGTGACAATTGCGACGCTCCAGCAGCCTCCTGTGTCTCATGGATCAACATCCCCGCACTTAAAAATGGTGGTGGGGGCACTTGAAATAAAGCTTGTAAAGGTGCCCTGTGCTCTTTAGTTAAAGCACATTAAGACAGACTAATGCACGTTTTCTTAGTAGCTCACAAGGAGGGAGCCTAAACACAGGTAGTGAGGCAGCTCCGACACGCTGGTAATTACTGTGCTCCGGCAGCCTTCAGCATCTTGTGTATCAGTGTCTACACACTTAAAAATGGAGTCAGGGGTGCTTTAATTAAAGCTCATTCAATTAGCTTTAGATAAAGTGCCCCCGCCACCATTTTTAAGCGTGGAGGCCCTAATGCACATGATGCTCTGGGTGCTTTAGTTAGAGCGGGTCTCGGAGCCACTCTAGTTAAAGCCCACGCCCCAGGGCACGTGTATAAATGCCCCAAGGAGGTACTAGATTTAATGCTCAATAACTGAAGTGCATTCATGCACATGTCGATGTGCCCCAATGTGTCTGTAGAAATCAGTTTAGTCTAATCTAGAGCCCCAAACACTAAACTGCTATAACTGGAACTATGTGATTATTGAACAGTGTGACTATGGGGCAGAATTAAGGTTGTTTGGATGCCCAGCTCTGTATGTGGGAATGCAGAAGCAAGCAGAGTGAAGACGGCCCTTGGTCCAGGAAGAATGGGAATGTCCATTGTGGTTACCTCTAAACTGCACTAACTTATCGAAGAAATCCCTCTATTTCCAGTGCATCTCTCTCTCCACCTTGCATAGATGTGGTCTGGCCCAAAAGGTTTTTTTTTCCATTATTGTTATCAGTGAAACTCTCAGGATGATAATACTAATGCACTAATGTTTGCAAAAATCCCACTTACCAGTAAGATGGCCAGGGCATGCCACTTCATGTTTTCCACTTCATTTGTTTCTGTTGAGTCACCTGGTTTTACAAAGTTTGCGGATATTTTTCCGAGGGGCTGGTGTCCCACACTGACGCTCCGGTAAAGAGAGAGGTGAGGTCAGGTCGCAGGTTAGTCCTTGAGGATAGAAGCAAGACAAATCAGAGATGGGTATGAACGTATGAGGCTTTGCAATGAAATATAGAGCCACAACAGAGCACGGCTTCCGCCCCAGCACTGCAGAAGGTTAAGTCAACTTCCTGCTGTGGGAACATGGCATTTGGAAATTTCACTGCAACTAGAGGTGAGGGCTAAAACTTTGACTTTAAAACTCACTGGTTCTTCCTCCACTGTAGAACTTTAAAATCACTTTCCTTCCCAGGAAAGAGAAATACTTCTTAGCTCTGGGTTGGTTTTTCTTTCCTTTTTTTTTCCCAAGAGGGATTTTTCAGTTAAAAAATATGTTTAAAAAAGGAATCGACAAACTAATCAACAAAACCTCTTAAAATACAAATTGCTTATGAAAGTGTCACACATCCCAAAGCAATTCCTATGGTTTTCCTTTTACGTCTTGAAGCTAGCACCGAAGAACGGGAGCATCCAAACTTTGCTCACCCGAAGACAGCATTGACCGATGCCAGAAACCTGCTTGGTACGAACTGCAACCAGTTGGGAATTATGGCCTACTGTGACCATAAATCCCAGCACGCTACACTCCTCTTGACCCAAACAAAGTTCTAGCGCAGAGGCACGCTAACTCTGGAAATGACTATGGCGGGAGTGAGGGATAGGCACAATGCAGTTATTGGCTGCTTTGGCCTACACCTGGCCTTTTGATCTGCAATGCATAAAACCCATAGCCAGATTTTTTGTTTCACATTTTGCGTTAAATTCCCATCTAACCAGACGTGCCCAACATCCAAACCCCATGTTCCAGTTTTGCCGCAGTTTGCATTTCTTCCGTTTTGCAGCCGACCTGCATATAAAGTACGTCCCATTCAGACTCCACGGAGATAAATGTGTTGCTACCATGAAAAAGAGAGAACTTGTTATCTCTTACTGTCTTATAATTAATTTCCTCCCTAAGAATAACTTAGCAATGTTTTGAGAGGGCAAATCCATCAGAGGAAGCCCATGTCCTTAGAACCACAAGGATAGTCAAAGGGTGGACTGATCTCTGGCTAAGTAAGAAGACATGAATCCCTTATGCTGGGAAAGTAAGTCAGAGAGACTTCAAGAAGGGTAAGCAAAGTGCAGAGCTGTATTTTCTTCAGAAATAATGTGGCTATTTCCTCAGGCTTTGGAAAGCTTAACTGGGGTGCAGGGGCTCTCCTGGAGGCCTGAAGCTGTGAGCTCAGGATAGACATCATACACGCAAGCCTGCGCAGGCATTCATGGCTCACTGTACTGCTCTGCCTCCTGCCCTTTTGTAGATCCGCCATGCATCTGCAATGTGCCTCCATCCAGGCTTGTAAACCCCCTTGTTAAAATGGTAATGGGAGCTCGCACCGCTCTGTCAATGCATCTCCGTCCTGGCCTGCTGCAGTCCTGCGATTCCAGCCCTGAGCAGGATTTTCTATAGCAGCTTTATGGCACAAGATTGTCTGCAAAGTGCAACAAAGCAAAGCTATGAATTCAGTATTGACAGCACAGCATCTGTGTAAGCAGATGTAGCCACCATCGTGGCCCCTGTGATAAGACACACACCGCCGGCCCTGGGCATGGTATTCAGTTTAAACAGAGCAGAACAACGTTACGGAGAATACTGGGGGGGTCTTTGCCTCCACCCAAGTACACTGCACAAAGGACTTTGGTTTGACTCCTTGTCTAAAGAATGGTACCTCTCACAGCCCTGAGTTGTAAGGCCAGCAATGACCCTCTTTCTCCCCGGAGCTGTGAAGTCTGAGATGTCGCCACGCCAGAGACTATTGTTATAGCCTGGCCGTAAAAGGGGGCAAGATATTTGCAAAAAGAAAGCTCTTATACAGGAAACTAGTGTTGGCTTAGAAATGGTATTTAAAGGTTTGTTTTGGGGGAATTACCTTATGGGTATAGATAGATGCATTCAAATGGTTCAGGATGGGCAGCAAGGGTTAATTGACTTCTAAGAGTCTGGGTGTCACAGAGTTTTACACAGCCTTGGAAGCAGACAGGCTGTCTAGCACAAGAAGACATCAAGGGCACGGTCTGGAAAACAGTCTGGAAACAGAGGGAGTATGTACCATACATACTGCCCATAACACAAGATAGAAGTTGCACCAGCTAACAAGACCCCAGAGCAGGGGGGCCTGAGTCCCGGTTTTCCAGAGCCAACAACTAGGTATCTTTACATTTCAATTTACAGTTCTGCTCCAACCATCAGGAAGCTGTCGCCATCCCCAGCATCTTTAAGGCATACTGTATTTTCTTGCATACAACATGCTGCAGAAGATCAGCAGCACTGTGTTTCTGAAAGGCAGAACGAAGAAGGAAAAAAACCCATCTTTCCTTATAGTAAATATCTGAGCAGCAGCAGTAAGGGAGCCAAGGCTGCCCGCTGTTCTCATCCCTGCGAGTCATTACAGGTTTTACTTTTGGCCTGGCAAACAGCCGAAACTGTTTCAACTATATTTCTTAAATATAATGCATGCTCCAATTTCCAATAGCTGTATTTTGGGAACAAGGTATGTTGCACATGAGAAAATACAGTACTTGTGGAGGATGAAAAAGACTCTTTTTGAAAAGGCTGGTCGTGTGTGCCGGGCTGTGGCTGAGAAGCCATCAATTACACAGCTTTTTAAATGTGTTACCATACTTGCAACTGTTTGATAACAAGGTGATATGATTTATAAGGGCAGCCAAAATTCAATTACTGATTTTCCATAAATTTTCAACATGGTCTCTTCATCTTGAGCTGGTTTATAAAGAAGCCTGCAGCACCAGGGGGACCACATGTGATTTGACCATAAGACAAAGGGTAATTTCCAAAAGAACTAGAATTGGGAGGGGAGGATTTCACCTTAGCACCTATGTGACACCCTGGGCCCAGGCTCCCTGAACTGACGCTGCCTAAAAGAAAATATGGCATAAAAGCGCACAGACTGACCAGTAGCCATATATTAGTCCTAAACCACTTATCCCATATTTTAAAGGTGCCAAAGCACGACTAAAAAGAAAATGGTTCTTTCCATAGTCTTGTATCAACCTGCATGTATTGTTGAGAAAAATAGGTTAATAAAGATTCAGGAAAGCTTTAGATGCATATACTGACTTCCTGCTCAGATACAAGTCCCATGGGAACGCAGAAGTAGGCCCTTAGGAACAATAACAGCAACCTAATAGCTGCTGGAGTTAAAATGGCCATCACTCACGCTACAAGGGAAACATGGCCACTAAGGACCAGAACATCTCTGCTTCCAGAAGAACCAGGGAATATGATCTGGAGGATGTGAGCAAAGTAGAGTCACAAGGTCACACTGCTGATTCGTATTGCGTCTGTGATCCACCGTGGCACCCCAGATCCTTCTTGGCAGCACAGATAGCCTGGCCCATGACTTTCCCTTCACCTTGCATGCATTTACATTTCTTCCTTTCCTTTGGTCTGTGCTGAATTTCCTCCTGTTGCCCATAATCCAGTCCCCCAAGTTATCAATATCCTTTTGACCTTCCTCCTATCATCCAAAGTGCCTTCAGCCCCTTCCCACTTCTGTGACATCTGCAAACTCTACCGGGAAGCTCTATAATTGCTCCACCTGACTCATTACTAAAACTGTTAATCACCATCAGACCCAGCAGAGATCCCTGGGGAGCCCCACTGGAAACCTCCTGCCAGTCTGACATTGATCCATTTTTAGCTACCCTTTACTTGTGGTTATTCAGCCAATCCACCTAAGAGTAAACCTTAGCGGGCTGCACTGGTCTCATCAAGCCAAGGGCTTTGTCCAGGCCTTTACACCACATGGCCAGCGAGGCCAAGGATATGCAGTGCTCCTAGCAATGCCCGTTTCCCTCTGACCTCCCAACCCAGCTTGGTGCTGCCATGAGCATATAGCACTGACAGTATCACATGGCATTTCTTGTCACACTCGTCTCCTTTGACCTACCAGAGAAGGCAGCAGCTTTCACTCCTAGGCTAATCAATGTACCATACTCCAGATATTATTTGACATGCAGCAGCACTTAAAAGGAACGTTCACCCATGATACCAGCAATTGAAAGGAAGGGAAGTCACAATGTGGGTAAGGCATGGGGTCAAGAATAAGATCTGGGCTCTAGTCCCCCTGCCTTTATGTGTTGGTCCATGTTGAGGCCTTCTTTCCTGAAGCTATTCCCTGCATCTCACGATTCCCATCTCTCACCTGGCATGGCATGATCTCACGTTGCGCTCCGTGAGAAGTCTCCCCTCCATTTGCTACTGACCCTGCCCACACAAGAAACATCACCAGCCCAAAAGCCATGGAAGATAGCAGAGCTGGAACATACTCAGGGACTTGTGGGATTCGATTCAGAGGCCCTACTGTCAACGTGGGAGCAGGCTGGACAAAGGTAGCACTGAGCCACCCTTGCTCTAGCTGCATCCCAAAGCTATCTATGCAGGGGCAACTCACCCTCGTGGTGAGTTAAAGTAGTCCCTTCTGTGGAAAGCACCCCGGGGAATTTCCATATTGCTCGGCACCTGGAAATTTTGCACTGAGCAATGCACGTGAAGCTGTATGCGTGGGCCGTGCCGGAAGTCAAATGTCTTGCGATGGCAGTACACGGATGGTTATTTTCTGCCTTGCTGCTCAGTTCCATGTGTGATAATCAACGCGGAATCACCACCATTATTTCTGATCCCTGCAACGGCACAGATTTGATAGACTCCCGGTTTCATCTGGTGTGACAAATTCAGCCTCCGTGTAAAGAGAATTAGGCATGTGCCTTCTGCTTTTATTTATATAACTTGATATAATGCACGAGGGGATGCAACAGACAGGTCACAGATTGTTGCTACTGCAACAGCCTCTACCAACCCCAGCTGAAATCAGAGGCCTGTGCGTGCACACAGTGAGAGTCCATGCTGCAAAGAGTTTGCAATAGGAATAGAAAATGGAGAAATGTCTCACTCAATCTCACAACCGGCTCTCACCAGGAAGAAACCCAGTCGCCCCCAGTTCCAG